TCGCTCTTTAGTCAGTTCCAAAGTTTGACCATCACATTGGACTGGACATTTTAATTACTGACCACAGGGCTTTCTATCATCTAGGAGTATAGGCAAAAGTCATGAGAGGGCCCCAATTTTCACCTGGGACAAAATAAAATGTAAAAAGCAGGAGGGAATTCCCTGGTGGTCCATTAGTGAAGACTCCACACTTTCATTGCCAAGGGCATGGGTTCGAACCTCAGTGGGGGAACTAAGATCCCACGAGCCATGCTGTGCGGCCAAAAAATAAAAAAGTGAAAATGAAAAAAAAACAGCAGGAAACAAAAATTAAATTGTTTTACAATTACGTATCACTCTTTGTCTTCCTCTGATGGACCAGTACAAAAAGCCACCTCTCTTAAGTGACATCCTCATGGAGGAAACAAAAATAAGAAAGCAGTTCATTACATAATAATTAGTGACAGCACCATGAAGAAAAATAGAGCAGGGTGAGGAGATATGGAGAGATATTTGGGAGGCGGGGTGCTGCTGTCCACAGAGTAGCAAGGAAGGCATCTGAACAGAACATGAGTGAGAAAGCCAGCGTATGAAGATCTGCGGGAAGATGGTCTGGCAGAAAAAACATTAAGTGCAAACTGCGGAAGCAGGAATGAGCTTGGTGGTCCGAGGATCAAAGAAAAGCCTGTGTGGCTAGAATAGAGGGAATGAGGCAAGAATGGTAAGTCATGAGTTTAGGAAATCCACCAGCAGTCTAATTGTATGCTGTCATGAAGAAGGAATTGGCCCTGAAGTGCAATGCGAAACTATCTGAGGGCCGAGTTCCGTCCTCCAATGGTTACCCTTGTTGCTGTGTGCAGAAAGGATGGTAGGCTGCCAAGAGAATGGAGACTAGTTGAGAGAACGGAGACTAGTGACCAGTGACTAAATTTGTCACGCAGCAACTTCCAAATCATCTAGCATATTTACTGAAAGGACATATTACTAAGCCCCATCCATTCCCCGAACCTACTGAACCAGAATCTTGGGGAAATAAGGTAAAGTCCGGTATTTTTAGCGGATTCTCCAAGAGATTCTCTCCTGCTGTCAGAATCAGGAATCGCTACCCTACATTACGCAGTGGCCATTTTATGAAAACCCACAAAAGAACTTCTGCTCAGTGTCTGGCTTAGGCTCTCTGAAATGTACATGTTTTGATCTTGCCTCTTTGCTTTAAACACATTTCATCCATCATTAACAACTGTGCAGCATTTTCCAGTTCAGTTTTTTTTTGGTTCCAACTTTAACTTGGGCTTGATTTTACTATTTATTCTACCTTCATTTCCCCTTTCCCTGATACTTATTTTTATTTTTTATAAATACTGTTTTTTGGTATTTATGCATCCATTTTATTGTTTTTAAGAATTAAACTGCCATTTCAGCAATCTTCAGAGTACTATAATGCACTGTACATACAGGTAATTTAGACTTGTGCCTATACCAGCTTCAAAGCCTTCTCTGATATACAGTGCAATTCACATCATTTTTTTCCTTAGAGAAAGAAACATTAATTTTGTTATCTTGCTACCCACCACAGTCACTCAAACAATAACTGGATGAGTTCACACCTGATGCCACTTAAAATTTTTGTCTGCTACAACACATTCACCTGATCTGCTTTGCTGCATAACATATATTTCCTAAACCTAACTAAAAATAAATCATTTTTAAGTCTATCTCTTTTAACATGTGTGCATTTTATCATGATACTCATTTTTTTTGTCCAATATATTATTTAAGTGGTTTCATACTACATTCAACCGTAGTGAATTTCAATAAAAGCAGGAGAGCTCATCCAGCATAGACAGTTGAGAAGACTTTAGTGAATTTGACTATTTTCTTATTACAGGAAACAATCGTATTGTATCTTAAGAGAAATATTTTAACAGCTCCTAAAGTCGGGCAGAAAAGGGAATCAAGTTTGGACCCGTCCAAGTACCTACAATAATACGATAGAAGCATTCACCACCACCATCTCACACTACCTCAGTCTGTACTTCTAATAGCAAAGCTTTCTCACTAGAAGTATTAGCACTGGACTCTCAAATTGCCAGGTGTGAAAATCACTTACTTTTTTTTTTGAAGTGTTAATTATTTTAGGCTGGTCAAGGTTAAAATGGCCTCATATTATTTCTAATTTCAGCTCTAAGCTCAGAGATGTGTTTGCATCTGATCAACCAAAATGAGAATTTGTTTTGCTTATATCCAACAGAATAAAATGATAAATTAGCAATAAGTTTGTCCTTTTCCAAAAAGAAATATGTTCTAAATTTATATATTATAAACTATATAATAAATCATATCCACATAATACACATTTCATATTTACATTATGCACCATTTAATGGAAGAAAAACTTCATGAGGGTTTATTCAAATGACGTATAATACACCAAGAATGTCAATTTATATGTATGAATTCTGTATAAAGTGTAAGCGGTCACCTTAGCAGAAACATAACAAGTCCCTATAATTCAAAAATTAATTCTAAAGACACCTTATAACGTGATGAAATTCATATAACTTAGTCATATTCATTCATATAATTTACTTTTCTCTTCTCTAATACAAAGTCATCTGGTAGTCTTCATTTAACTTCATGCTAAAACGTTCCAAGTTTAGAATCTTTACCAATAAAATAAACAGGCAAGAAATAACAGTTTTTTTAAATTTCAGGTTAGAGGGAAAACACTTATCACACAGTAATAAAACCCAAGCAAATGGCGAGCTGGTGACTATATGAATGCCTATCATTAAGATATTATTCAAATTCCTCCATGGCACTTAAACTGTAGTTTAAAACCCAATAAACAAGAAACCATAAGAACAGGACCAAACTCTACTATGAAATGAGGCATTATAATAAACTAAATATTTAGGGCTGAATAGACTTTAAGACAATGAACAGAGTAGCACACACTTCATCTAAATGACACCATTTAAACAGTGCTATAATATAATGTTACTTAAGACTAACCAGTGTGGTGCATTATGTGATTCCAAGCATTCTGAAAAAAAGTAGTAACAAGTAACAACATCCCCACCAGCTTGGAGCCTACAGAATCAATTACTTTGGCCATATCTTTCCAAATGATTTAGTAATGCCTTTTAACATTACAAACATAAATCTACCACAGTACTGGAATTCTGATGCATTTTGGTGCTTCTAGGGCTGCCTAAAAATGAGAAGGCATCCACGCGAAATTCATTATACAGTTATTAAACAATAGCACAAAATCTCAGTGCCTAAAAATGTGAAATAATTCTCTACCATTTAGCTGTCTGCCTTACACTATATTCTAGATTTTTACTTCCAGGATTTTTATTGCACTTTGGGAAATCAGAGGTAAAACATGGTTTTAAAAAAACAGTATGTCAAATCATTACACTGTACACCTTAAATTTATACAGTGCTATATGTCAATTATATCTCAATAAAACTGGAAGGAAAAAAACTGTGACTGTGCTTAAATTCAAATAAAAATAGCATTTTTACAACCATACTGAAATTTAATCCTTTTACACAGGTTAACAAAATATATCACAGAAAAAACCTAAACAAAAACAAAACTTTTGCAAGTGGAGCAATGCAAATTTATTTCAGGAACTCAAATTATAAAAGGTCACCTCTGAGTCAATTTACCACACTAAAGGAACAAAGTTGTTAAAATACAGATATGCTCCACTGAGCCATTTATCCACTCTATAGTATAAAACTTGAAATAAATCCTAAAGCCAAGGTTTAAAATCATTTTAAGAGTCAAGATCCTAAGTGTTTTGCTATCTCTGTAAGAGGTGCTCTTCCTTCCCAAAACACAGTTTAATTGAAAAGTTGACTATATTTAAGGTTTTTGTCCTCACCAGCTCTTCAGTTCAAAATACTATTATCAACGTGAATATGGTCTATATCTTGTCTGATCTGAGCAATGTGATCCAGAAAGTGGGGTTGGGGAAGGTGGACCCTATGCTGGTGAAGGAGGTGAAAGTCCTTTCGACAGAGGTCACATACCAGGATTTGTTCCATCCCGTTGTATAAACGGAGGGCTCAGAATTTCTTGTTCTTCGGTGAACTGGGATAAAGAGTTAGGATTATGACGGTCAGAAGGGAATTCACTTACAGGTGGACCACCATTATGAGACAGAGGAGATTCCGGCAGAGAAGGATTTATATAGGGTGGCACCAGGGCAATAATACATCCAGGGGAAGAAGGTACTGGTGATGGATCAGAAGTCATGGGTGGAGGTGGCACTTGACTACAAACCAACTGAGGAGTACCTGAATCCTGGAGAGAATATGACATTGGATGGCTTACTGGTGGTGGAGTAGATGGGGGTAGTGCATGTGCCTCTGGAGGCATAATATAAGGGGGCAATACCACTGGCTGACTTTGATATTCAAGATGCTGGTGAGCCGGTGCTGGGGCAGGAGGTGATAGTTCTTTGGCACCAGAATTTGAGTCACCCTGAATAGGGGTGATTACTAAATTGCTGTTTTCCCTTGTTGAAATACTAACGACTTCCTGATGGAGCAAAGGAGGTGGGGTGGCGACAATTCTGCTGGAAGAGCATAAAGATCCTTGCGTGGCTGGTTACTGCGCTTGTGTGATACACACTGCACAGGAGATGGTGACATAATGCTGCGCAACTCTGGTGGAATATGGCTCATATGGTCCTGGTCTAGCAGCATTTCAGGGATTTCAGTTGTTGGTGAAGCAATACGAGGGTGAACTTTTTTTTTTTTTTTTTTTTTTTTGTGGTACGCGGGCCTCTCACTGCCGCGGCCTCTCCCGCCGCGGAGCACAGGCGCCAGACGCGCAGGCTCAGCAGCCATGGCTCACAGGCCCAGCCGCCCCGCAGCACGCGGGATCCTCCCGGACCGGGGCACGAACCCGCGCCCCCTGAATCGGCAGGCGGGACTCTCAACCACTGCGCCACCAGGGAAGCCCGAGGGTGAACTTTTTTAAGCGGAGCACAGTTAACAAGTTATTTAGCTCTCTTATGGTGGTAGTTGATACGAGCTTCTAACTCTCTTTGAGACAAATAAGTTTTCCTGCACTCTTGGCCAGCGCTACACATGAAGACAGAACCTCGTGTATGCTCCACAATTCGCAGCACAGGAATACTACAGCCTGGTCATATCTTACCTCCTTTTCTTTCATATAAATTAGCACAGTCATAGCAAAAAAGCATACTTGCACGGAATTATACGCCCATAGATTTTAAAAGGCAAATCACAAATTTGTCACAGAAATGAACTGGTAAATCAAACTTTTCACCTATGATGTTTATCTTAAAGTCCTCCCAAACGCATTTAGGAAATGTTTTCTTTCTTCCCAATAGCTCACCCCCTTTACAGTCATACCGCCCTCCTCCATTACGTTCAAATTCTTTTCCACCAGCAGGCGACCCATTCATAGTCCTTGGAATATGAGACACAGATTGCTTTTACTCACCTGCTTAGAAATGAGCTTTAAAGGAATTCGTCTTCGAACCTCAAGGCCACCGGATGATCCAGAGCTCCGAGCGCGTGGTGGCCCACAGTCAGCGTCAGCAGGATTCGTGTTTGGCTATTCGGCTAGGAAGGAACCCGGGCGCGGAAATCAGAGTCCGCATGCGCGGCACGAGCTTGCCCGAGCTTGCCCGAGCTTGCCCGAGATTCCCCGAGCCCAGGAGGCGAGAGTTAGGTCAGATTAGATCAGATCCCAACCCCGTCTCTGTAGCTTTGACTTCCGAGGGGTTTCTTCTCCTTTTCCCTACCCGACCTCACTACTCGGGCGAGGGAGTCAGACATAGTTTGGACAAGGGGGAAAGAGCTTCACTGTTGAGGTTGCTAAGGCTGCTCTTTATGTGCCATGAAAGTGGCCTTTAACTGTGGAAAAAGAGACTGATGGGAATGGGGAAGGGGAGCGCAGCAGCCGCCAAAAGAATACGTTCCCAGCTTATTAGAGCGCTGCCTTCTGGGGCAGCTTTATTTTTATCCCACTGCATTTTTGTAACCTGCCTTAAATTGCTCAGGTGCGTGCGTGTGTGTGTGTGTGTGTGTGTACATATATGTATGTAGTCAGGCATACACACACCTCTAAGATTTCGTCATGATATAATGAATGTAAAATCAACTTTGGAGGAAGGGAGCACTGTATGTATCTATCAAGGAAAAATCATGTAAAAAGTAGTGAACATGGTAATCTGACAGTGCTAGACATTTGCTGTTCATGCTTAGAGAATGATTTTGGGTATTTAAGCCAAATTTCCCCAGGTCTCACCTTCCCGCAAGTAGAAACTGGACCAGAAAAATAGCAACAAACGGTATTTACTTGGCTCCACCCCACCCATAATTGTGGCTCCTCTGCACCTGACGGCGGGGGGAGGTCTCTCCCGAATGTGTACACATTCACCCTTTTGGCTATGTTGACCGTCAAGTCTCCCCAGAAAACACTAAACAAGAAACACTGATCAAAGCTTTTTAGACTTACTGCAACATAGGAGAATACTACCTTAACAGAGTCTAAATAGTGTCTCAGAAGAGGGATGGCAGGATATTAGGGGCTGGGCTGGGTGATTTTAGGGCAGGTCTTGCAAGGAGAATTACGCAGATTTTATAACATGACACCTAAAGACTGGCAGGCACAGGGAATTGAGAATATTGACATGAGTATTAATGGGGAATATGTTATTCTTGTTAAGTAAACTCTTTTTTTAACATCTTTATTGGAGTATAATTGCTTTACAATGGTGTGTTAGTTTCTGCTTTATAAGAAAGTGAATCTGTTATACATATACATATGTTCCCATATCTCTTCCCTCTTGCATCTCCCTCCCTCCCACCCTCCCTATCCCACTCCTCTAGGTAGTCACAAAGCACCGAGCTGCTCTCCCTGTGCTATGCAGCTGCTTCCCACTAGCTATCTATTTTACGTTTGGTAGTGTATATATGTCCATGCCACACTCTCACTTTGTCCCAGCTTACCCTTCCCCCTCCCCATATCCTCAAGTCCATGCTCTAGTAGGTCTGTGTCTTTATTCCCATCTTACCCCTAGGTTCTTCATGGCCTTTTTTTTTCCCTTAGATTCCATATATATGCGTTAGCATACGGTATTTGTTTTTCTCTTTCTGACTTACTTCACTCTGTATGACAGACTCTAGGTCCATCCACAGCCATAAAAAGAAACTCTTTTGGTTGGCTCACAAAAAAAGTAAACTCTTTTGGTTGGCTCACAATGTTATCTTTCAGGAAAAAGTACTTCCTGCAACAAGTAGGTAAGTTTGCTTATTCCCAGAAGTTTTTAACATAACAGAAAACTATCCCCAGTTCAATTATCGTTTTACATGGTGACAGGGAACTATGTTGGTTTCCTTTTCCCTGGCTTGTTGGGGTGTTGCTTCTTGGCTACACCAATGGTGAAAATACAACAATGCCCAGATACCCACCAAAGGTACCAGTGCTCACTAATGCCCAAAGTTAGTGCTGCGCCAGCAAGGAAACAAGGAAACATTGAAGGTGCTGTGTAGTCTAAGAAGATAAATGGACTTCCTTGCCCTCTTTTCTTTCTCTCTATTACATGGGCTACAAAGCACTTCAGATTAACACTTGCCAATGTGTTAAAGAGATTTTCCTGAAATTGCTGTTAGTTTTTACTTGCTCTTAATTATTACTCCCCTAGTAAGGACAGAGGCAGTGCTAGCTCATGGTAGCTAGTTTAAATTTGAATATACAATGCCACTCACCTCTGACACTCTCCCCTAGTTCTGGAAATGTTTCAGTATTCCAGCAATGCTGTCTTCTCTTAGGATTCATTCACTCCCAGGAGGCAACTTCATTCCTCATGCAAATAAATTTCTTATGGGCCCATCTCCTGGAGTCTCCTAACCTGCCTAAACTCTAAAGACAACACGCTTTATTCTCTCAAACTAAGCCTCCCATTACATGTTGATTTAAATTTTAGGTAATTTGAAATTTTGTTGGCTTTTAAAAAAAGCAGTACATTTTAATAAGTCAAAGTGGTTCTTATTTACTAAGCCATGGATGTTCTGCCCCTATTGTAAGCAATAAACCAAAATTCTAAGTAAAACCTAAAATTTAGAGCATGAAGGCATATGCAAATGTTCCTGTTTTACAATTACAATGACTTGTTTGCAGGCTCTTTAAGAAGGTTGTGTGTCGGGGTGTGGGTTAGTGGTATGCATATAATTCAAAAACAATAAATATAAAGGGGTAAAAGTCTGTCAAATAAAATATCCAAATCTTATTTTCCCTTCTTCCCTGGAACTAGTGTTCTTCTGTCTAAACTGTGACATTCTCATATGACAGAATGCTGTCCTTACACATAACCCTGGGTGAAAAAAAGCCAGCTCTCTTTCCTAGTTGGCTAAATTTACTTTTGTTGCTCATTAGGTCAACTTCAAAGTGATGAACGAAAGCAGCTCCTGGGTGGAGGTTGTCTAGAAGTTAACAGGACTCAAAAGCTGAGCTTAGAATTTATTTCTAAAATAATTTGAAGTTGACCTAATGAGCAACAACCCTCAGAAGTGGGTTCCGACAGCTCTGCTTGGAGTATTTGCTTGTTTATAGCTGAGAAGCCTGACCTGAATGCCCTTAATAAATATTTTTTGGTGAAATTGTTGATAAGATAAAGGGTATTGACCCTCCATTTATCCACATCAGATATGAGAAGCTAACTTTGCCACACTAGAAAAGCTGCCTTTACAAATTGATCCTTATTTAGTGCCCTTAAACAAAAAGTTAAATGGGCTTCCATTCAGCCACCTCCTTCAGGGCATAGAGACTCTGTCCTTCAATCTCACTGCTCTTAAAAGTTGCTAGACTTAAATTCGATTGACAAAAGAGAGATTCAGTGTCTGTCTGCCTGTAACAATGATTGGATATAAAAAGGTTTGAGTTTGGAGATTTAAGAGAAATTGGACCTTTTGAAATTGCTTGGATTCATGGAGTCTTGTTAGAATTCGGCTACCTCAAAAAAATCTAAATGAGGGTGACAATGAAGAATTATGGACTGCACAATGAAGAAGTATCAACGTGCACAATTAATGCTAGGAAACAGGTTGAGACATCTCCGCTTAAGCCACATGCCATCTGGCCCAGAAGCAGTCATTCTACCAGAATGACACCAAAGGTCAGCAGGGGCTCCTGGATTTCATTTCTCCTTTAAGGGAATCTGATCTGTCATTCCTCTGGCTCCTGTGGGCTTTAAATTCACATAATCAACATATCACTGCCAGAGACTTAGTAAGAGCTGAGGCAGTTTAAAGGTGAGTGGAGAATGATCATGTTCCCAAGCCAGATGCCTTCAGTTCTGCAAAGAAATAAAAAGTCCATCTCAGGTTCCAAAAAGTAAGGCAAACTGCCCTGTGTGAAAAAGACTTCAGCTCTTTTCCCATGTGTGCCGGTAGCTATATTTTACACCCTGGGAGGGCCAGCCATTTGCAAAAGTTTAGAGCAGTGTTTCTCAAAATGTGGTCCACAGACCCCTAGGGATTCCCAAGGCCCTTTCTGAGGGTCCTGGAGGTCAAAACTATTTCCATAATAATACTAAGATGTTATTTGCTTTTCCACTGTTTGACATTTGTCATGATGATGCAAAAGCAATGGGGGATAAAACTGCTGGCTTCTTAGCACGAAACAAGGCAGTGGTATCAAACTATCCTAGTAGTCACTGTATTTTTTACTGCCACACAGTAAAGAGAAAATGCTAGTTTCACTTAAGAATGTATGTGATGAAGCTCTAAAAAATATTAACTTTATTAAATCTCAACCCTTGAGTACACATCTTTTTCACATTTTGTGTGACAAAATGGAAAGAAAGTACACCGAAGTACTTTGGGGGCATACCAAAGTACAGTGGCTATCTCAAGGAAAAGATTTATGTCATCATCTGAGTTGGAAGGTAAACTATCGGCTTTTTTGTGTGGAACATTATTTTCATGTGAAAGAACAAGTGACAAACTATGACTATTCAAACTTGGGTATGTGGCGGACATTTTCTCAAAACTGAACAGACTTAGCCTGTCAATTCAAGAAAAACAACTGACAGTATTTGTTGCCAATTATAAAATTCAAGCTTTTGAATGAAAATTAGAATTTTGAAAATCTTGTATCTGCCACGATCCTGGCAGCTTCCCAGTACTAAAGACTTATCTGATGAGATCAGTGGTAATTAATAATGAATGTAATTTTTTGAAACTGTATAATGAAATGTGTCAACACTTGGAAGTTCTGCATAACTCAGTGAACCAATATTTTCCAAATGACCAATGGTTGATGTTACAAAATCATACATAATTAAAAGACCCATTTAAAATCAAGACAGGAGTAGATGTTAGTGTAACAGAGTATGAAAACTTCATGGCTGTTTCAGATTCCATATTGCAACTAACCTTTAAGAAACTACCATTTGTAGGGACTTCCCTGGTGGCACAGTAGTTAAGAATCCTCCTGCCAATGCAGGGGACACGGGTTCGAGCCCTGGTCCAGGAAGATCCCATATGCCGCAGAGCAACTACTACTGAGAGCCACAACTACTGAGTCTGCGCTCTAGAGCCTGCAAGCTACAACTACTGAAGCCCGCACACCTAGAGCCTGTGTTCCACAACAAGAGAAGCCACCGCAATGAGAAGCCCGCACACCACAATGAAGAGTAGCCCCCGCTCGCCACAACTAGAGAAAGCCCGCGCACAGCAACGAAGACCCAATGCAACCAAGATAAATAAATAAATTTATAAAAAGAAAAGAAACTACCATTTGTTGAGTTTGGTTTCATTTCAAAGAATATTCACAATTATCTGAAAGGCTATTCTAATACTCCTCCCTTTTCCAACAATACATCTGTATGAACCTAGATTTTCTTCTTTAATTTCACCAAAACCAAATATCACAAAAATTGAACTCAGAAGCAGATGTAAGAATACAGCTGCCTTCTATTAAACTAGATATTAAAGAGATTTGTAAAAATTTAAAACAATGCCACTCTTCTCAGTGACTTTTTTTTCTTTTGGAAAATATATTTTTCATAAGAATGTATAATTTATATTAGTGTGTAATGGCTTATTATTATTTTTAAATAAAATAATAAATATTTTAAGTTTCTCGATATTCCACATAAACAAAGGCTCTTTGAGGTCCTCAATAATATTTAAGAGGGGAAGGGAGTCCTGAGAGTAAAATGTTTAAGAACTGCTTCTCTAGGTGATCTTTAATGCTCTTTCACCTTTCCTCTGAGAGACACTGCCTTCCCCACATTCACTCCCCCAAACTCAGTCCCATCCAAATCAAATTGCCCAGAAGGTCCCAGAACTTCCTCACCTTCAAAATTAACTGACGGTGACAAGGAGAAGGGAAAGAATGATCAGGATCACTTAAACTCCAAGCATTGTGCCATGCACCTAATATATGGTATCTCGTCTAATCCTCACAACAGCCCTGTGAGATAATAATGATGACGTAACCAAATAATGGGGCAGCAGGGCACAGGGGAGCCGATCTTACTGTTAGGGTCAGCAAAACCACCTTTTCACTAAGAATCATCTATAGACCAAATAAATAAAAACATCTTACAAATACCACACTACTTATTTTCAAATACATGTGGGTGTTACTATACCCAAAATTCCATGGTAAAGCATCACCAAATGCACAAAAGCTTTGATCATTGTTTTTTTAAAAATTTCAATGAATCAGGACATCAATGTGGGAGATAAAAAATTTTTTGACAATGAAAAGGGAACAAAGTGATCCTCGCCTTTGAAAAATACTGAGAATCACTGCATTGTAGCACTATAACTACACTGAATCCACAGCAAAATCCCAACCTTCAGGACAATGCTAAGCTGTTTAGAGTGATATCCTTACCACTAAAAGCCCACTTTTGCCATCAAAGTATTTAAAACTCTAGACAGGGAAGTCAATACACACATATGAAAGGCCAGCTAACAGCCTGGTACCATACAGGGTTGGATGAGGGAAATGGACACGAAGTGCTATAAGAATTCTGGGGACGTAGAGAACTTCTGGCCAAGATGATCTTGGATGAACTAAGACTAGATCTGCATCCTTAAAGATAGAATTTAAATGGGCATAGAAGACAGTGACTAGGGAACCACATGGACAAAGACAGATGTGGAAAGCAGATGTGTTCAAGGGCAATATGCTTGACTCAATCGAGGGCTCACATACGGAAGAGATGGGAGATACAGTTGGGAAAGGGCGTTTAGGACCAAATGTTGAAGGGTCTGGATGGAATACTGAGGAGTATAAACTTATCCCTCGAGGCAATTCAAAATCATCAAATAAAGATATAAAAGAAAGGGAACAGAGCATAGTGTAGGTTGGCAAACTGGGACAGGAGTCAGACAGTCCTATGAGGAAGCAATTCACAGTTCAGGACTGAGGTTGTTCAGGTCTGAGTGGGAAATAGAGACCAAAAGAAACAAGTATGTGGGAGACGCCGAAAGGCCAGAGTTTGGCGACTAACTTAATGGGACTAACTGGCAATGGAGAGGAGGCAAAGGGAAATGACTCCAAGTTTTCAAGCCCAAAAGACTATCGCATGATCCAATTAGGAAGGAACCATTTGGCATGGACCACATCTGCTTCGTCAACATCCTCGTAAGTTTGGCCCTGGTCCACCAGAGGGTCTGAGGCCTATGTTTAGTGACATGGAGGAATTTTGTCTTGGTCTGAAAAGGTAATCAGAACAGTATCCTGAACTCACTACTGATCAATTCTTCAATCGTTTGGGAGATATCCTCCCCTCCCCACCCCATGACAGTTAAGACTTGAATTTTAAGGCTGCAGCTACCCACTCACTACCCCAGCCCACGTCCAGGCTGCTCCCCTCACTGAGCAATCCTGCTGGATTTTCCCTGGGTTTTTGGATCAGCAATACCTTTGGACTTGGCTTTGTTTTTTGAGGATGCTACCTCGGATTGGGGGCCTTGATTTTGTACTGACATCTGGGTTTTCTGATCCATGACTCAATTGTACTCCACAGCTGCGGGTAAGAGGCACCTGCCTTGACTTTCTCTGTTGCTCCCCCGGACTCTGTTTAACTCTACCTTTTCCCCATCGATTGGAGAGCAAGGTCAACTGGGCTTTTTGCATAGCAGGAGGTCCAGTTCTGAAAAGTGCTTGGCAATAGTGAAAAGGAAAGGGATCGAAGAAATAACAAGAAGGAGAAAGACAAGAAAAAGCTAAAGATGAACATTTTCAGTCTGGAGAAGGGGAAGGAGGTTGGCCTGATGATGAGCTAATTGTCTTCAGGTACAGAAAGGGCTCTCTCTGTTGGAGAAAGGAAGCCTGGCTGTCCTCCCATCCAGCCAAGGGCAGACCAAGGGCTTAGTTACAGCGCAGGGGATTTACAGAAGATAAAAACATTTCTTGGACAAATACAGAAATGGGTTTCAGAGGGGTTTTGTGTAATTACCTTTGCAGGAGATGGCTAAGAATAGCATAGCTCCTCTGGCAGCCGGAAGGTGAAGAGGTGTTATGTGGACAAGCAGAAGGTGAACTTGGGGCTTTTCTTGCCACCCCTTCCATAACTCTCCCTCTTCCTTTACTGCAGGAATAGAAATTTCTGCACTCTGTCAGGCACCCTTGGAAGAGCTCTGAACCTTTCTCCAGAGGAAAAGCACTTGGCCAATTCCTGATATTTTTAGAATAAAATCAGCAAGTAAAGCTGTTGTCCCAGTGGTCACCAGAGCACTGTAGTGGTGATGATTCCAAAAGCCATACAGGCAATTTCTGACGAAATGATATCAAAGGCAGACTAAAAATTGTTTCTTTAACCGAAGGGTTGCATGACTGGTTTTTAATTAGAATGGATTAATACAGTGTTCCCGTTTATAAAAACCAAAATTGAAAGGAAGGAATTGCAATGAGGTAATTAAAGTAAGGAAAATAGCCTCCAGATCCTCTCCCACCCAAATATTATGCTTAAAAAGACAGAGAAAATTAAATAAAACTTTGTTATTCTTTATATACCTAGATAATCTCTGTATCTAATATCTCAAGGGTATTACATAGTTGTATAAGTTCCTAGTGTGTATATATGTTTGTGTGTATATATACATGTGTACGTTTATTCATATGTGTATACATATTTTTGTACCTATATAATCATATAAACACATGCACAAATTGTTTTTTGTTTACAATAGTATATGACAATATATATAGGTACCGCTTCTTTTCTATTTCCAGAAGGGCATTAACACAGGGCTTCTCAGATAAATTACCATTTCCCTTTCGACTGGCTTATTTGGCAAAATCAAGAAGTTTGTGTGCTAGTGCACAAGATGACCTACCTGATCCTCCACTGAAAAAATACGAAATGTTTCATTGAGCCTTCATTCTAAGAAGCAATGGTAAGTAGCTGGTAAGCTTTCTCTTCCTTGTCACGGCAACATCCTTTGACCTATGTAACTGTAGGAAGGTGTTAAAGGGGGAAAAAAGACAGGAGGAAGGCTGTATGTGTTTCACCATTTACTGAATGAAAGGTTTTACCTTTTTATGTATGTAGCACCACGCCTACATATCAACTCCAAACCCATCAATTTACCAAGTCCCGTCAGAACAATTCTGTCTCAAGAGCTCTCATATCTATCCCTACGTCTCCATCCCATGCCACCAGCATGTCATATCTCCCTTCGATTACTGCAGTGGCCTCGTAACTGGTCCCCCAGGCTTCAGTCTTATCCCTCTCCGAGTGTTCTCCACACCATCACCAGCTTACTCTTCATTAACCAGAAATCTATTTGTGTCAATGGTTTGATTTAAATTGTTCAGTGGCTCCCAGACGCCTACAGGATCAAGTCCAGACTCAGCAGCATAGTCCTTCAAGGCCTTTCTCCATCTGGCCTCTGCCAAACTATCTTGCCTAACACCAACCCCTCCTCAGCCACTCTTCAAGCTCCAGCTCTAATAAGCCATTTCCAGCCCCTCCCAACAGGTTTTTTCCCCCTCATCTTGTTTTCCAGAAGCCTGGCCTTTCTGCCTGGAACTCTCTGCTCTCTGTTAGCTCCCCTGGCTGTCTCCAATGGATGCTACAAAACTCAGGTCCAGCTTCATCTCTTCCAAGAGACCCCCACACCCAGTCTTGTCTCTTATGTATATTCCTATGACAACTGCAGGATTGCCCAAGAGTACCAGCAAAGCAAGAACTCAAAAAACGAGCAGAGAAAAGATTTTGGAAAGAATCTGATATTCATTATTTCCCTCAAAAAGCATCAAAGTAGTTATGGGGAAAAAAATCAGAACTTACATGGACTTCCTTGTATTTATTTTACTGTTATTTAAAACACTTTATAGTGAAATATACATATATAAAAGTGTACAAATGGTTAACGTAAATAGCTTCCAGATCAAGAAACCTAATATTACCAGTAGCTCAAGAGCCCCCTTGTGGGACCTTCCAGTCACTAACACTGAAAGGGCAACCATTCCCCTGACTTCTAATAGCACAGATTAGTTTTACATATTTTTGTTTCATATAAATAGAATCATAAAATTCAGCTTCTTTCATTCAATATCATGCTTGTGATAAACATATGTATGTAGCTGTAGTTTCACTGTTATTGTAGACTAATATTCAAGTATTTACTCTACTCTACTGTTGATGGGCATCTCAGTAGTTTCCAGTTTTGAACTACTACAAATATTGGCGCTTCTATGAACATCTTCTACAATGTCTTCTGATTAACATATGTGTGAATTTCTGTTGGGTAAACATTAGGTTGAACAATATGAAATTGCCAATATTCAACCATTTTCGACCTACTAAGATGGCAACTTATTACTACCTAGAAGTGGAATTGCTGGGTCATCGGTTACACGCATATTTACCTTTAGAAGATTCTGGCCTAACAGTTTTCTACAGTGGCCATACCGATTTATAATCTCATCAGCATTATATGAGAGTTCTGTTTGTCTAAATCCATTTTTATTTTAGCCATTCTGCAGGGAGGGGTATACAAATGAGTCACATTATGGTTTCAATGAGTAGTGAAGTTTAAGCACTTTTTCATATATTTGTTGGCAATTCAGATATCCTCTTCTGTGAACAAGTTCAAGTCATCTGACCAATTTCCTATTGAGTTGTCTGCCTTATTAATTTATTATTATTTAGATTTCACAGCTGAGGACATTGTAATTCTTTCATTGCTTAGCTCTAGAAATGTTTTTATCCAGTCCTATGCCCAAAGAACCCTGCATTCAACTCTGTTCTATGATATACTACACTGCTGAAATTGTTATTTACATATCTACTTTTCCTTATGAATTGTTAAGTAATTTTTAAATCACTAAATAATTAGCAGTTAGAGCTCTTATTCATCATTGTATTCCAAGCCCTAGAATAATATCTAGCAAGTGGTTCAATAAATATTTGTTCAGTTAACTGATATGCATTTAACATAGTATTCTTCCTAAATTTGTATTAACTATCTTTATACTCCTTTGTCTAAAGCTTATTCCAACAAGGCAAACCGTGTAAAGTAGAGCACTCTGCCCTTTCTCCACTACTTGACAAAAGAACACTATTGCTGTATGCCTGAAACACAACACTGTAAATCAACTATACTCCAATAAAAAATTTTTTAAATAAAATTTTTTAAAAGTTTCTAGCATTGAAAAAAGAATACTAGTTGCAAAAGTACAAAACAATGATCAGAGCATAGAAATAGAACTTTTCTGTTTCAATTAATGACTAAAAATAATAAGCAATAAAAATCTCATATAATTGAAAAGAAAAAAACAAGATCTTAATAGCTTAAAGGGCAAAAGGCATTGATGTGCAAGTAATTTACATCAAGAGAAGTAAAAACCAAAAAGCTAATTACTAAAATTAAACAACCAGTCACACTTTTATATATTTAATAGATGTAAAGTATTAGTAAAGTTGAAATTAATAACATGTAGAACTTATCAGGTTTTACTAAATGTGGCACCTTCTTATACTGTTCTTCATTATGCTTGTTATTACAGTTTTTGGCTTACACATCTACTTCCTCCAGTATACCATAACTTTCTTATGGACAGGACCCTTTCCTGCTCCAGTTCCGTTGTAAAATGAAGTATGTACCCTCATATATACAACCGTGCTAAAAAGCAATTATGTCAGTATATTTCAAAAGCTTAAACATGCCCCCTTTGGTCAAGTAAATTCACTCTCAAGTATTTATTCTAAAGGAAACAATCAAGAGGAAAGAAAAAAACTCTACACATTAAGACACTTATCTCTGTATTGTTTACAATAGTTACAAATGAAATCAATAATAAACTTCTAACAATAAAGAAATGATTGAATAAAATGTCACAGAAACGCTAAAGAATATTATGCTGCCATTAAAATGGAAGATTATTAAATACCATGGATGCATGCCAATACTATTAAATGAAAAAATATCATGCAAAATCATATAATGCTCTAAGATTATACCATATAATCGTGCATGGATCCAGGGAGCAACATAGAAAACGACAAATGAAAAAGAAATACTTGGAAAGTTTAAGGTTCCGGACCATAAAAGAGTTTCTTTTTTAAATGTCGTTACTGTGCATTCGTTCATTACCTCCCCAGCTACTCTCCTAGACACAGTCAGTATGATCTCTCACCTGGATGAGTGCCACAGCCTCTGACTGGTCTTCCTACTTCTTCCCTTGTTCACCCACAGTCTACTCTCAACACAGCCAGAATCGTCCTGGAAATCAGGAGGCAGATCTTGTCACTTTTCCGCTCAAAAGTCTCCAATGTCTTCCCATCTCACAGAGTGAAAACAAGAATTCTTACAATGGTCTACATGACCGTCAACTATCGGAATGCCACTTTGCATTCTCACATGACCTTGTCCCGCACTCTTCCTTGCCTCACTAGCCTCCTTGCTCTTCCTCAACATCCTAGGGACACTCCTACCTGAATACTGGAAAGTTTTATTTTATGCAGAAGCCAATCCTAGGTTTTTTTCCGTTATTTTAA